TTCCTCATAATTGATTGTCCGAAGCGAGAAGCATTTCTTGTTACCCATGCTGTCGCTTCGATCATCAATAAAGGTATTTAAAATTGGAATAGATTGTTCAATACAACTATCACATTATATCATTCAGACAATTATCACATTTAATCATTCATCATATCACATCAAATCATTCGTTATCACATTTTAAGCAGACCAATAGGGTTTTACCGGGATATTCAGTATACGTTTTGTGAAGATTCAGTTTCCAACGGTGAAATTTACCACTGAGTCTTGGCTTTCACCGTCACCGTTATCGCCGGATTATGTTGTATCATTATCATTACATAATATTGGGTGCGTTTGGCAGAAAAAAGCGCTAGCAAGCGCTTACAAGCGCTAAAATAGTTTTCGGCCAGGACACGATTGCTACTTCAGTAGCGCTGACACAATCCGCCATTTTGCTTATTTAATTTGTTTGTTTTGAAGTAGAGTTTATAAGTTGTTTTGTGCAACATTAGTTTTAAGTAATATAATGACATGAATAAACATATACATGTTATTAAAAATTCATGATTAGTAAGTTTTTAATATGAATACTTTACAAACATATATTTAAATTAGGTTAGGTTCCCCCGGTTAAAACTAACATCGTGTCCTAGAGGAAAATAGCTACTTACGATTTGACAGCGCTTACCGCTTACGATGGCCATTTTGCTTACAAGCGCTTGCTAGCGCTTTTTTCTGCCAAACGCACCCATTATCTTGGGTAAAATGTCTGCTGTCATAGCTATTTAATTTCTTACGTATTTCATGCCTTAAAATGTACAGACTCAACTATAGTAGAAACTCTCTTATCTTTGATTGTAAATTAACCGTTGATAATGTGGCTAATAAAATTTCTCGATATTGCTAATTGATGTTTACGAACATCAGTTCCGTAACTTCTTGTTTTTTATTGAATGTTTGAAACTCTGTAAATGTAAATTATCGTTTGATTTAAAGCATTGAAAGTATTTTCAGTCCCTTTTCAGAAAAATTAAAATTTTGTTAACAAAATTATTACAATTATATTTAAATAAAATATTTACAAATACATTTGATAAACATTCTGCTTGTTAAACCGCTTATTATTATTACAACTTGTAATAAATACGAGCGTTTAGTAATTTATACGTAAGAGAAGAAAAGATATAAAGTGAAACTACGATACATAAACTTCACTACGACCAGGAAATTTTCCAATGTCTTTTATGTTGATGTAAATTGCAGATTATTAGTACATAAAGGAAAATATGTGAATCCAATCTTTGTATTTTTCGCTACTATTTTAATATAATATATTAACGAAATGTGTAGGTTCCGCAATAAAATATTATCGTGTGCCCAGTGCGTGTGAGAAGAGAGACCCGCTATTAGCTAGTTTTAATAGAGAACTGCCGTTTAATTTGCGAATAGGTATTATTAAACGTAAATGAATATAATTTAATATTTAGATATTGCTATGTTTTGTTATTCCATTTTTATATTTCATTTTTATTCGAAGAGGTAAAATATATAAAATGCTGGAAAGATTTATATGAGATTAAGCAAGATGTGATAGGTATGTTCTCAGAAATTCCATTGCTCACGATTCACGATAACTCTGTAGTCGGCCAGTGACCATATGGCGCTCGGATTAGGTCAAATGTGCGGTGTGGTAGTATTTCATAGACGTCAGCGAGCGTATGCCAACCGCTACTCGAGGAAAGTCGAAAAAAAAAAAGAAAACTGTGACAATGCTACTATACTAATACGATTACTAAAGCAATCGTATTAGTATATATAATGACTTGGTAATAAAAATGTATACTAGGTATGTATGTATATCTAGGATTAGGCTTTGAATCCCAGCTGGTTCAAATATAAGATTGAATGTTATTTATTTGTGGAAAAACGTAAATTCCTACCCAACTTTTTAACTAACAAGGGAATTGTTTGCCATAGTTTCCACGCTTGGTTAGCGGGTTGGCAAGACGCTATTGCCCATCTCCAGATTTGTTTTCCCTCTGTTGCTTTTTACGACACCCCCTGGATTATATGGGAGATGGACATTCCTACATCGCCACTACATGGTACTTTAAGTTACATTAAATTAACAATATACAAAACTGTAGCTTTGTTCAACTCGAACAGAGTTAGTGGTTTATTAATAGTGCAATACACGCTTTACAAAAAATTCTTTCCTCAATTAATAAATTTCAAATATAATTAATAAAACGAATAATTTTCGAAAGATATCTTAAAATCGTTACTGTAGTTATTAAGAATACATAAGTAAATTATATTAAAAAACCATTGCGAATGAAGTGATCGTTACCAAGACTTCTTCAAAATGTATCATATCTAAATATTAAATCAAAGAAAATCGTATTTCAATATAAGTATATATATTTTTTTTAATTTTCAATAATTATTTTGTCACATCCATATAGGAATTTTCTTTTAATAATGGTGAAAATCGTTCAAAAGCTATCTACTGTAGTAAGTCGATAGGTCCAGCCGAAAAAGGTTGCTTATCCGCTTCTCGTCTTCTCGATAATATAAAAGGTAAAATGTATATTATTGTGGCGACGATAACCAACTTTGTTTATTTAGTTATTATTCTCACCTTTATTTCCTTCAGTCCAGAGAGCTCGTCATAAGCCAATCACACTTACTGCTCACGCCAGTGCCTCTTGATTCTGTCTAAGATTAAGTATGTTTATATGTATATACAATATTTTTTCACATTTATAGATACGTTTTATAGTACGTAGAAATTTTTAGGTAAACTGTTCGATTAGAAAGAATACGCCAGCCGACAAGCATTACTTGATAACTTGGAATATTCGCTCATACTCGTACCTACTAGTACCCATCACACTTGGTAGGTTTTCTTGTGATCGCAGAGCCGGTTACCTACGCACTGATAATTCCACTCCGTATTCTTAGTCTGTTGAATTAGGAGAACCTCAAATTTTATATAAATACTTACTTTAGTATGTTAAAATACATTTACTGTACGTAATGACCTTGACCTACAAATCACATAAAAATTATATGCCAAGATTTCATTGTCAATTTTTTATTTATTAAAAAATTAGCATCATTATTATTTAAACAAAACTTTTATTTGAAAATTAGTTTTGATATTATCTTTAAAATTTCGTTCGTTCGTTTTATAGGTGTTATTTTATTTTGAAAAAATACCAAAAAAGTCTATTTTAACAATATAGGTATATTATAGAATGTGGGAAGCGATTATTAGATCGGGAACTGGTAACGTTGCATGCGTGCTTTTCGACCACTTTGCGAATAACCGGTTCATACCTATAGCAAAAAAGCTTAGGTCCCGTTTTCCAAATATTACGAGCACGAAACTTATATAAACTACTCTTAATTTATAGTAGCGTTTACTGATAGCAACACTTAAAAAAAGGGGTAAATATTCAACGTTTAAGTTTTGAAAAAAAAAAGGGAGAGTAAACTCAATCCAAATAATATTAGAGTTTAAGAGATTTATTTGCCTAGCGAATATGAAATTCAGAGAATCCGCCAAAATGGTGATTGTAACCAGATCCGAGTGGTGTGTACTAAAATAGCCGCGCAAAAAGAGCACGAGCGCCTCGTCACACTCATGAGTCACATGCTCCCGCTCACGCCTGCTAGTTCGCGTTCGCGACGATATTAACTATGATGTGCACGCTTCTTGTTATATCTAGATAGAGCATTGCTTTAACTTCATTACAAATCTGTTTGGCACTCACATTAAATAATTTAATTAAAGTAAAAACTAATTAATTATGTGTATTAATTAATTATTAAAACTTCATATTACTATGTAATTAGGCGGACTTAGGCACTAGCCTGAGCATTCTAACTGAGAGTTCAGTCTACATAGATGTGATGTAGTTATAAATAGAAGTAGGTGAAAAAAATTCATGATAGATAGGTGATAAAAATACAGAAGGGTTGATTTTTTCAGTCAGCTGATAAAGTTCCAAGAAGTATATTATAATTTGAATATAAAAGTGAAGCATAACATAAGCATATATTCTCAGAGGAAATACTAACTTCTATTTTTCACGATCTTGAGGCCTCTCACTCGCTCCAGTTACATCTACGTATCCACATGCTCGTCATTTAAGGCCACTCTTTTTTTTCGCCCATTTACTGTCGACTATCTCGGTCACTTCCACAGCAAAAATCTGCTTTGTCACTTTTTTTCATTCTCTTTACGTATCCAACCCACTGAAGTATTTGTTTCTTAATCATGGTTGCAACGTCTTGAAAACTACAAGTTTCTTTTATTATAATATGAATCACCCTATCATTCAGAGTCACTCCTAATATACTCCTAAATGACCGCATTTCTACAGCGTTTAAAGTAAAACAGTTGAACTGCGTATTTAATTCATATAACTATCATTTTTTATTTATTTATGATGTATTTTATCATAAATAAATAAAAAATAAAAGTTATATGAGTGAAAATTGACCCCAAGTAAATTTAAAATAAATAAGTATATAATTAACAAAATACATAATATTTATCTAAGCATGCATTATACTATAATATACATAAATACACAAATATATACAATTTTTATGAATAATAAAAAAGAACACGAATAAATGATTGCAGAGAAGATTCTGTCATTTCGTAGTAATTCACAATTTTTCATCGTAAATTCGGAATTAGATTTTTTAATATGAGAGGAGGCAAACGAGCATGCGTTTCACCTGCTGGAAAGTGACTACCATCACCTGTGAACAACTGCCACACCAGCTGGATTTGCAGATACGCTGATGAACTTTTAAAAAGGTTAGGCTCTTTTCTTGAAGGTTCCTAAGTTGTATTGGTCCGGTAAAATCGTTGATGGTAGTCGGTTCCGCAAGGAATGATATGACTTCGAAAGAATGATTTTATGTTCTAAGTCGATTAAAATTTAAACACTGAGAATGCAAAATCATATATTTACGAGACTTTTTCTTTGTTTCAGTGGAGAGTGCTGGTGACCGCATCCCAATTACTTCTGGAAGACCAGGGGATCCTTCTCCGCCGATTTTTGAACAAATATTTAAAAATGCGAGATTTGCTCAAGGTGGCAATGCAAAATTTGAAGGAAAACTTAGAGGTAATCCTACACCAGCAGTTTCATGGACGAGAAAGAAGGCACCTTTAGTAGAATGCAACAAATATAGCATGAATTATAACGAACAGACTGGTGATGTCTCATTGCTTATAAAGCAAATTGGTCCTGGTGACGAAGGCGAATATACATGCACAGCGCGTAACCAATATGGTGAGGCGATATGTTCAGTATACATACAACCAGAAGGTGTTCCAGTTCCAGCACATCAAAACTCACAACAACAATGTTACCGGCATGTCAGTGAAAGTGTCGAACATAAATCCTATGGTACTCAAGGATATAACACAGAACAAACTCGTCAGACTCAGAAAATGACTTATACAAATGGAACCGACTATTCTTCTACCGAAGACTTTAAAGTTGATACTTTTGAATATAGACTGTTAAGAGAAGTCTCATTCCGAGAATCAATTACTCGTCGTTATGTAGGGGAAAGTGATATACATATTAATACAGAAATTGACAAAACCCTAGGAGGTGTATCCCCACCAAAAATAGGACAAAAACCAAGAAATTCTAAACTACAGGCTGGAATGGACGCGCAGTTCCAAGTACAACTATCTGGTAATCCAAGACCGAGAGTCACGTGGTTTAAGAATGGACAAAGAATAACGAATTCAAGCAAACATGACATAGTTACGAATAAAACTCAAACGACACTTAGAGTAAGAAATACACAAAAGTCTGATGCAGGTCATTACACATTACTCGCAGAAAACCCTAATGGTTGTATTGTTACGACAGCATACCTTGCCGTCGAATCTCCTACAGAGACATATGTACAAGACCAAAAAGCACAATATATTATGGATACACAACAAACAGGTATAGAAGAAAGGGTTGAAATTAGCGAAAAAGCTCTCGCTCCGCAATTTGTAAGAGTTTGCCAAGACAGAGATGTAACAGAGGGCAAGATGACGCGATTCGATTGCCGCGTCACAGGCAGACCTTACCCAGAAGTCACGTGGTTCATTAATGATAGACAGATTCGGGACGATTATAATCATAAGATTTTAGTAAACGAATCCGGAAATCACGCTCTTATGATTACAAATGTCGATCTTAGTGACAGTGGTGTAGTTACATGTGTGGCGCGAAATAAAAGTGGTGAAACGTCGTTTCAATGTAGATTAAATGTAATTGAAAAGGAGCAAGTAGTGGCTCCTAAATTTGTTGAACGTTTCAGCACTTTGAGTGTTCGTGAAGGTGAACCTGTAGTGCTAAATGCACGTGCGGTTGGCACACCTACACCTCGGATCACATGGCAGAAGGATGGCGTAGCGATTATACCCAATCCAGAATTACGAATTAATACCGAAGGTGGGGCCTCGACGCTGGACATTCCGCGAGCCAAGGCGTCGGATGCGGCATGGTACCAGTGTACGGCCCAGAACGTCGCAGGCTCCACCGCCACTCGGGCTAGGCTCTATGTTGAAGTTCCAAAAGAGCCGCCGCCTGAACAAAAGCGTTTGCACTTACCTCGACCAACAAAAATTATTGAGCCAGAGTAAGTAAAGAGAAACAGAAAAAGTTGTCTTTTTAACGTGGTTAGTAATAATACAAATTTAAAATAATTATTTTTAATATTTTAGACCTGCTCCTGGACCTGAAATTATATACTTAAGACACGTAGAAAGAGCACGACCGTACATTCCTCCAGGCGAGGAAGATCGAATTTACCCTCCACCACAGTTTATTATTCCACTTAAGAGTGTTACGCAGATGGAGGGTGGGAAAATTCATTTTGAAACTAGAATAGAACCTGTAGGCGACCCGTCTATGAAAATTGAATGGTTAAAAAATGGACAGAGTATCGAAGCCAGTAAGTAAAGCAGTCCTATTGAATGTGCTTGAAGCTATTTATAGACAGACACAATATAACTATTAGTGAATACTACATTCTCATGTAACGTATAATATTAAACTGTCGTAACGTTACATTAAATCATAATTATTAAAAAAACTGAATTCATAAAACGTTTAAAATAGTTTGTAGGATTTTGCCATTTCTATTATTTTATTGTGATGCTTTTTGCTAGCGTGCAAATAACGTGAAATCGAAGCGACAATGTAATTTTATTCATGTTATTGTTCCAGGTTCTAGGTTTACTTCTGTTTTCCGATTTGGCTATATATCTTTAGATATGCTTAGTCTCAATATCCAGGATAGCGGGGAATATACATGCCGAGCCGTTAGCGCAACAGGCGTTGCTGAAACAAAAGCCATGTTGCATGTTACGCCAAGGGCAATTATCGAAAGAACAAGCCAACATCCAGAAAGCTTACAATACATACAACAGCTGGAAGACTACTCAAAGTTTCAGCGTCAAGAAACAATTGAGGAACAAATCTCACAACGGCCTCAATTCATAAAGCCCTTACAAGACCTTGGCGAGCTTCAAGAGGGCAGAAATGCTCACTTCGAAGCGCAACTTACTCCCGTAAGTGATCCTACCATGAGAGTTGAATGGTATAAAGATGGTAGGCCAATCACAGCCAGTTCGCGAATCACGTCAATCTTCAACTTCGGTTACGTCTCCCTTAACATCATGCACCTACGGGCTGAAGATGCAGGTTCGTATACTGTCAGGGCTGTGAATAAGCTTGGTGAAGCCGTCAGTACAGCATCAATTAAGGTAGCAGCTAGGAGTACAGTTACTTCAGATCTCGGCATACCAGAACAAAGAAGATATATAGAAAAAACAGAACAACTAGAAGCATATCAACAACAACAGTATCAGAAATATTATCAGGAAATACCCGAAAGTACCCAACGACCTGAATTTAAAACCCCTATAAAAGATCAAATCAATATTAAAGAAGGAGGATTTGCTCATTTTGAGGCTCGATTAGAGCCGGTGGGAGATTCTACTCTAAAAGTAGAATGGTTAAAGGATGGACGTCCTGTTGAAGCGAGTTCCAGAATCACCACTTTCTTTAACTTTGGGTACGTTGCGCTTACAATAAAGTCTGTGACTATCCATGACGCAGGTCATTACACATGTCGCGCATATAACGCTCTTGGTCAAGCTTCAACTAGTGCTAATCTAAGTATAATAACAAAGAAAGATATAATAGCTGAATCACAACATCCAGGTGGTTTAGAAAAAATTCAGTATTTAGAAGATTCTAGCAAGTACTCCAGACGAGTAGAAGAGGAGTTGAAAATTACACAAAAGCCAAGATTTTTAGGTCCATTAAAAGGTACAAATAAAATCGTGGAAGGACAAAGTGCGCACTTTGAAGCTAGAGTTGAGCCACAGAGTGACCTTACTATGACAGTTGAATGGTATTTTAATGGGAAATTAATAAAAACTGCTAACCGCATTCAAAGCTACCATGATTTTGGATATGTTGCATTAGATATAGCAGGAGTCAGATCGGATGATACTGGAGTTTATACTGTTGTAGCGAGGAATGCGGCTGGCGAAGCACAATTGAGTGCATCAATGACAGTTGAAAGTAAGTATTAATTAAAATAAAATAACGTAATAATAAGTAATTAATTAAAATAAAAGTATTTTTATTTGTTTATGTACACACAACAAGATACAGAAACAGTCATATAGTTAGTTCGTATATAGCGCTTATTTAATAATTTGCTGAAATATCTGAAATATCTTCCATAATGAAAAAAATATTTAAAAAACATTTATTAATTGTATTATTTTTATTTTAAGTTAATCTGAACTTTGCTTTGTTTTAGCTCGATCAAGTATCGATACATCAAGTATTCATCGTGGCTTATATGAAAAGACTAGACATATTGAAGAATCTAAGTTTGTAGAACCAATGTATCATATAGAGGAAATTTCAAAATCCAAACCTATATTTATACAGCCACTGTCAGATCCGCAACCGGTTTCTGAAGGAAAGAATATTCATTTAGAATGCCGTTTAGAACCTATGGGTGATCCAACTATGAGAGTTGAATGGTTTCATAATGGGAGAGCTGTTACAGTGGGATCTCGCTTTAGAACTTATTATGATTTCGGTTTCGTCGCCTTAGATATTATTCATGCTACATCTGCAGATTCAGGAGAATACACAGTAAGGGCAGTAAATCATTTGGGTTCTGCACATACTTCCGCAATGGTACGAGTAATAGAAAGATCAGATATAGTTACAGATACTCAAAATGAACAAGCTTTTGAGCAGATACAAATACTAGAAGATTCTGCACGAAGAATGAAACAACAACAAGAAGATATAACGGTAATGCAAGCACCACAATTTTCACGAGCACTGCATAATATTGAAACAGTTGAAGGTACTAATGTGCACTTGGAATGCAGATTGCAACCGGTTGGAGATCCTTCCATGAGAGTTGAATGGTTTTGCAATGGTAGACCAATAAAGACGGGGCACAGATTTAGACCGGCCTATGAATTTGATTACGTTGCTCTTGACCTTTTAAGTGTCTACCCTGAAGATTCTGGTGTATATACTTGTCAAGCCACAAACCAGCTTGGAGAAGCAGTAACTTCATGTGCTTTACGCGTATTAGCGAAAAAGGATTTAATTTTTGACTCACAACACCCTTCTGGTTTGGAAAAAATCCAATATTTAGAAGACGCTTCACGTTACAAAAAATCTGAGGTAATTGATGAATCTTATAACATTAAACCTCATTTTGTTACCAAACCAAAATCCATTGAAAATGTAAAAGAGGGTCAACATGTTCACTTTGAATGTAAACTTGAACCAGTTACAGATCCTAATTTAAAAGTAGAATGGTTCAAGAACGGCCAGCCTGTAACTATAGGCCACAGATTCAGGCCTATACATGATTTTGGGTATGTAGCCCTAGATATTATTGATTTAATTGCAGAAGATTCTGGTATTTATACATGCAGAGCAGTTAATATTATTGGTAGTGATGAAGTAAGCTGCAAACTATCTTGTCGAAGTACCGCTGATATTATTCGGGCTACTCAAAATGAAGCTGGCTTAGAACAGATTCAAGTTTTGGAGGATAGATCTAAATTTTCCAGAACTGACTTCGTAGACGAAGTTACAACGCAAGCACCTATATTTACAACATCTCTGAAAAATATTGAAATAAAAGAAGGACAAAGAGCTCATTTTGAATGCCGCTTAATACCTGTGTCAGATCCAACGATGAAAGTTGAGTGGTATCACAATAATAAACCTTTGAAAAGTGGTTCACGATTTACTGAAACTAATAACTTTGGTTTTGTGGCTCTTGACATCATGTCTTGCTTACCAGAAGATTCCGGTACGTACACTTGCCGGGCTATAAATGCTTTAGGTGAAGCCGTGACTTCAGGAAATGCAGTAGTGCATTCCAAAAAATCGATTTATTTAGAATCACAACACGAAGGGGCTCTCCCTAGACTGAATCAATTAGAAACTTCAAGGCATCAAAAGCCATTAGCACAGGATGAATTTACAACTCAGGCACCAGTATTCACGATGCCAATGAAAGACATACGGGTAGCTGAAAATCAGGCTGTGCACTTCGAAGCAAGACTCATACCCGTCGGTGACCCAAAACTGCGTGTAGAATGGTTACGAAATGGTGTGCCCATTACAGCCTGTAAGTATTTATTTTACATTTAATAATCTTTTGTCATATTAAATTGTTAAATTGAACTTATATTAAATGTATTTAAAATAATAAAATGTTTCAGCTAATCGTATTACTACCATGCACGATTTTGGATATGTTGCTCTTAATATGAAATATGTAAACCCTGAAGATTCAGGTACATATACATGCCGAGCAGTTAATGAATTAGGAGAAGCAGTAACATCATCGACTCTCTTTGTGCAATGTGAGTTTTGTTCTATTATTTAGTTTAAGCACTTATAGTTTAGCCTTTAGCTAATAATTGTTTTACCTAGTAATTTCACTTTTGAGAACCACACCCATTATTTTTTCTGCTACCTAGCATCAGTGCACCGACTGTTGTGTTCTGGCTTGAAGAGTAAGAAAGAGGTTTTAATCTTAGTACATATTGGTAACAACGCATTTTTATTGTATTGAGCGGGTTCATGGGCATATTTATTCATGTATCAATAACTATAATTTTTACAGGTCCAATCTAATATAGAATAAAATTTACAATTTTTAATACAATTTGTAGTATTTATATTCAATAAAAATTAAAAATAACAAAATTTAAAAATTTTGCAAAATCGTAGAATTATAGTTACAAGTTTACATATTTCTGTAAATAAAGGTTTAAACTTGACAGGCAATAATTTACAACGCAAAATGATTGACACTTTATTTTTTAAAGGTTTAACTTATTTTTAAAGGTTTAACTTAACTTACTTTTAGTATGTAAGTAAGTCTGTTATATATTTGTTAATTAAACATGATATACCTATAATATGTTAAACATTTAATAATTTTGTAGCTTTGTTAAAAAGTAATTACTGTTTATTTTGACATTTATGCAACGTTTTTACAAATTTGTCAGATTATAACATTATTATAACGTTGTAGTTTAATAATGTTTATAAGTTTGGAATATAAGTTCACTTTTCACTGTTTAAAATTATATAAAAACATTGATGCTTTGACTTACGTATTCAAAAAGCTTTTCAATAAGACATCAATGTTTAATCTACGAAAGCCCAATATATACGTATTCCTTACCAAATAATTAGAAATAAACTTGTCATGACCGATGTCTTCGCTTCTCAATTTTGAAAATGGGTTCAACGAAAGCTAAATACCTAAACGAAAATAGGCCAACAAGGAATGATACAAAGCATGTACATAGCGAATATCATGGGTAATGCCCATGTCATTATCGGGACCTTTCAGTACTTATAGATCCAAATCGGCTAGCTCGGTACGTAACCACACATCTTCCTGTTACGTTGCCTCAACTTGAATTAAGGTTGTACCGATAGAGCGTGTAGCCGGTGATGAAATATGGATCTGAGACGTGATCCTGCACTGCAGCCTGAATGAGAAATCTCAAGTTCGATCAGTTAGCTTTGGAGAGAGCTATTTTAATAAGTATATTAATAAGAGATGGCCCGAATATTCGTTTCAGAATCGGTATTCGGCATATTTGGTAGCTTTACCGAATATTCGTATTCGGCCGAATATTCGGCTAAATCACCGAACTCTCGTTAAAGTGGTACTCAAAGTGTCCACTGTAACGAAATTTACGAATTGAGTAATGTCATGTTGTGTAAAGTCTGTCATAATTTTACTGTTGAAATTATGTTTTATTTATGGGTTAAATTTATTTGTATAGCATTATATTTTCGAGGCACTGTTGATTTATTTCAAATTATAGCAAGTAGAAAGCTTGATTATTTTTTGAAATCATACAAAGAAACATTACATTACATTAGTACATTTCACTTTACTCTGGTCTAAATAGTAGATCTCCTGCCACTCATATTTATCATAAAATTATTAATTTTTCTAAGAATAACACAATGAAATACTTTTTTTCTTATAAAAATGGTCAAAACATACGCATGAGCCGACAATTTGCTCAGTACCAGATAATGCAATAACTTGTCAGGCATGGCGAGGCGCGAGGGGTAGGATCCGGCGCTAATCCCGCGCGGGTTTCGGCAAGTTTGAACATAAATTGCTTAGGTATCGAGGTGATCCTGCTGAATAATGTTCGGCCGAATATTTGGTTCGGTAAAAGTTTTACCGAACTTTTGGCGGAATATTCGTATTCGGTAAAACCCATTATTCGGCTCATCTCTAATATTTATTAATTACAACTTTCATTACTCATTTTTTTGAATAAAACTATTATTTACGGATTTTATGGTTTAATTACTTTAATTTATTTTTATTATTATCCGTAAAAAAAATCCGTAAATAATAGTTTTATTCAATGTGTAGTGTTCGCGTAAATTTAAGAAATCATTATACTCATTTTTTTTTAATTTTGAAGCCAAAGCATCTCTGCAACTTGAATCACAACACGAGACCGCATTAGAAAAAATCCAGCAATTAGAAGATGCCACGCGTTATCAGCGTAGAGAAGATGTCGAAGTTACTGTTAATCAAGCACCTCGATTCGTGACTCATTTGAATGGTCCGACAAAACTAATCGAAGGACAAAGTGCGCACTATGAATGCCGCATTGAACCATATCCTGATCCAAATATGCGCGTTGAATGGTACTTCAACGGGAAAGTTCTGCAAAGTGGCCATCGTTATCGTAGTGCTTATGATTTCGGATTTGCAGCTTTGGATATTCTTACGGTTTACGGTGAAGATTCTGGTGAATACACTTGCAAAGTTATTAATAACTTAGGGCAAGCAGCATCAACAATTAAACTAAATGTTCAATGTAAGTGAATTTTATTATCATAACATTTACTAATAACTTAGAATTATTAAATATACCAACAGGATCGGGTGTGAGAGGGAATAAGCCACTGTAACGCGATATTTCATGTTGATATAGATGGTCGACGCTCTGGCGAACGAAATCCATACAAAAACATAATACTAAATATTTTCGGATAGGCAATGGGATTGAACTTTTTTCAGATAGCATTATAAGTGCATGGGTATTGTGGTCACCAACACGGTGATTAACACCTTACCTAGTGTTGAGAGTATGGACAAATCTGTAAAGTAATTCTTGCCAGCTGCTGCATTTTAGGCTTAGGATTGAGGTTTATATTTTTACGAGGTAGATTTTTTGAGTCCAAGTTTGTGGTTTGCGTTTATCTGTATATTTATGAAAAATGGTTGGACTCCCAAGCTCTCACAAATATTCAGTTTTTGATTCAGGTCTGGCCCAGACCAACGGTAAAATTATAGCTGTTATTATTGTAATCTTTAATTATCTTGTCTTTACTGTTCAATCAAAATTTATTTCTTCTTTTAGCCAAGGAATCAATAATTAGAGACACACAACATGAAAGTGCGCTTGAAAAAATTCAGTATTTGGAAGATGACTCCAGATATAAACGAGTTACCCATGAGGAGAGTTTTATTGCTGAAAAGCCCCAATTCGGAAAACCTATTAAAAACGCGGAAGTGCCCGAAGGCCAACCAGTACATTTAGAAGCTACCTTAACGCCAGTTAATGATCCAACTATGCGAATTGAATGGTACTGTAACGGAAAGCCAATACAACAAGGACATAGATTTAAGACTACTTATGACTTTGGATATGTGGCTTTGGATATTTTGTATGCTTATGCGGAAGATACTGGGACGTACATGTGTAAAGCTACGAACGCAGTCGGTGAAGCTATTACGACAAGTTCTGTGAAAGTTGATGGTGAGAATTTTATTTTTATTTGCTTACTCATACATTGTCGTAGCCAGGTAGTTTAAGACCGATAGAGGGCTTGGATGTTGATTTGACACTGGTACTAAATTTTACATCTAGGAAACTCGTTGGATATTAATTTCATTAAACGAGAGAGGTATGATTAGGAGGTGACATTAATACGGTGACCATAACAGAGCAAATATACCTGGTCTCAAATTCACTTTGTTAGTAAGTGGTCGTGTTCGTACTTTGTGCCTAATTTAGGTATTAGATAAATTTGTCCACTGTTTTGATGTAGCCCAAGAGCTAGTTCAGTCGCACCTCAATTCCCTGTCACTTATATTACTAAATAGATAAAAGAATACTTTCATATTTTAATAGATGTCATATTTATTAAGTATTGGCTAAACCATGCCTAGTGGCATAAGAGTCAGCAGTTTTCAAAGAGCGAACTTTCACCAGTCGTTAATCATTGAATGGGAACCTAAAATCTGCCTAGGTGCCTAACCAAATGCCGGCGTCTAATTGACGGTATAACCGTTCAACTTATTTAACCATCCGGCGACAACATAAGTATTTAAAGAAATGAAATTAGGATATTCTTTAGTAAAATGGAAATTAAATGCTGAAGTTAATTTAATCTATAAAACAGTTTTTATTTTTTCTGAATGGGACAGTCAGGTCTGGTCTACAGAATTTTCAATTTTCGGAGTTTGTTCAGAATCTTTTATAAAATTTTATCATTGTATCAGAGGATATTGAAAGAAAAAAATAATGTTTCTCAAATATTACAATTATTACAAATATTTTAATTTTATACCTTTTTCCCCGCTGTGTTTTACTTCGTAGTCGAGCAGTATATTAGCGAAAATATATTTAAAAAAAATATTTTTGCTAATATAATCTCATCCGCAAATGACAAAATAATCTATGTCTATTTGAATCAGTTGTCGAACGATTATTTTTGGATAACGTTTAGTGCTATATGTATAATTAAGCTTAATGCTTAACATAAATATTTTCTTTTTTATTTGAATTGAATTGATTTAATACAATAAGTACATATTACGCTTAATTATACAAAATATAAATGTGTAATTTTTATTGTATTTTATTTCTATACAAATATAATTTGATAAAAAAATAATTCATTTTAGCTAAGAAATCTTTATACTTGGATACTCTGGATGAGCAAAGGTTAAAGAAAATCCAAGAGCTTGAAAGATACGAGAGACCTAAGCCAGTAGAAGAAGAGCAGCCAGGTCAAAGACCAGTGTTCTTAACTGCTTTGACAAATCTTGAGAACCTTAAAGAAGGTGATCGTGCTCACTTTGAATGTAGAGTTGAGCCTATAAATGATCCTGATCTTAAGATCGAATGGTTCCTCAATGGCCAAAGAATCAAAACTGGTCATAGATACAGAACTACACATGATTTTGGTTATGTCGCATTAGATATATTATATACATACAGTGAGGATTCTGGCACATATATGTGCAAAGCATCAAACAAACTTGGTGAAGCAGTTAACACATGCACGTTAAAGGTTGCAGGTAAGAGCTATTGTAATGTAAATTATATATAATAATAAATAATTAATTCTGAACCTACATTTTAACCATTCTTTCTTACTTTTTACAGGGCACAGAAACATTATTTTGGACACTCAGCATCCAAATGGGCTCGAGAAAATAAGACAATTGGAAGCACAAGGTCATCCAGCTAGAATAGAAGTAGAAGAGCCCAAAATTTCACCACCCCGGTTCGTTACTGAACTGCGAGGAACAACACACGTTTATGAAGGCCAAACTGCTCACTTTGAATGTCAGGTTGAGCCTGTACATGATCCTAATTTAAGAATTGAATTTTACCACAATGGCAAAGCCTTACAATCTGCATCACGATTCCATATCACTTTTGATTTTGGTTATGTGTCATTAGATATTCAACACTGTGTCCCAGAAGATGCTGGTGAATACTCTGTAAAAGCCATAAATGCACTGGGTCAGTGTACATCCGCAATATCTATGACTGTAACTGCAAAAGGTAGTATTATATCGGAATCTCAGCGTCCAGAAGGGTTAGAGAAAATCAAAGAATTGGAATCTGCTGAACCATTTAAACGACCTGAAATTCCTGAACCAGTAACTAGACAGCGACCTGTGTTTACACAGCCACTTCAAAATATTGATAATATACAAGAAGGCCAGACAGCGCACTTTGACTGTAGGCTTATTCCTGTTGGAGATCCAACACTCAAAGTTGAATGGTTCCGCAATGAAAAGCTTATTGAAGATAGCTCAAGAATTACCAAAACTCATGATTTTGGATATGTATCTATGACTATTACCCACGTACGCGATGAAGACGAAGGAGTTTATATGTGCAGGGCATCCAACCTATTAGGAGAAGCTGTGACTACCGCTGCCATGAGAATAAAAAGTATGTACGAAGTTTACACCTGTAAATTAAATATTTAAGTGAATTATACATTACATGAAACAAAATATATAAAGTGATATTCGATGTTGTTTTCTAGCTAAAGCAGCTATTCAAATGGAAACGCAGCATCCGGAAGGTATGAGGAAAATTCAAAGACTAGAGGAGCCGCAAACTAAAAGGCCAGAAGAACCAGAGCGTGAATTTGAGAAACCAATATTTACACAAGTACTTACTGGTCCTTCAGAATTATGGGAAGGGCAACACGCCCATTATGAAGCACGTGTTGTTCCTGTTGGTGATCCAAGCATGCGTTTCGAGTGGTATATAAATGGAGTGGAACTCAAAATGGGTAAGAAAATATAATACAAACTGCTATAACATACAAACTAATTCGGTATTATTATTATACATTATTATTAACTTTTAAAATAAATGTTACTTTTCAGGTTCGAGGTTCCGCACAACACATGACTTTGGTTTTATTACCTTAGACATAAACTCTGTTGTTTCGGAAGATGCTGGTTTATATATGTGCAAAGCAATAAATAAAGCTGGTAGTACAGTATCTTCAACTTCACTTAAAGTAAAGACAAAATCTACAATAGTAGATTCGACTATGAGACCAGAGTCGTGGGAACAGATTCAATTAAAGGAAGCAGCTATGAACAAAGTTCCAGAAATGTTTATCGATTCGGGAGTGCAACAAGCGCCTATTTTCACCACTCACCTGAAAAGTTACGATAAGTTAGTGGAAGGACAACATGTATACCTAGAAGCTCAAGTGGAACCACGAACTGATCCTAATTTGAGGATTGAGTGGTTTAAAAATGGAGTTTCTTTAACTACTGGTTCTAGGTTGAAGAGCACATTTGACTTTGGACTAGTTACTCTTTCTATAAACTCTTTACGAATTGATGATTCTGGAATTTATACGTGCAAAGCTACCAATTTAATAGGAGAGGCAGTGTCTACTGCATCCATAAAGATTGAAGACCGTCACTGGCTACTTGGTGATTCACTTCACCCTGAATCTTTAGACCGGATCGGAGCATTGGAACGACCTAAGCCAGCGAAGCCCGAAACACCGGAGCCTGTATACGAAGTACCAGTATTTATTTCACATCTAAATAATATTATTTGTAAAGAAGGTGATAATATTCATTTTGAATGCAGCGTTGAACCATCTAGAGATCCTACCCTCAAGATTGAATGGTTCTTTAACAACAAACCTCTTCCATCAGGAACGAAATATAAAAGTACTCATGATTTCAGTTATGTAGCTTTAGATATAACTCACACTTATGAAGAAGATTCTGGTATTTACACTTGTAAAGCAACTAATTCCAAGGGTTTTGCTACAACTTCGGGATCATTAAGATGTACTGGCGATAAGAACATTTATTTCGACACGCAACATCCGCAAGGAAAGGCCGGTTTAGAAGCTGTCGAACAAGCTGAAGAAGCTAGGCTTTCTAAGAGCAGAAGAACATCTCTACCAGAAACTGAATATCCAGCACCCGAATGGGTTGTACCTATATCTGCTGAAAATAATTTAATAGAAGGACAGGCACTTCATCTTGAGGGTCAAGTTGAACCTAAAAATGATCCGAACTTAAAATTAGAATGGTACTTCAATGGCAAAGTTTTACAGCAAGGTTCTAGATTTAAATTAACCAGCGATTTCGGATTTGTTACTTTAGACTTAATTGACGTTTATGAAAGAGATAGTGGTATTTATACATGTAAAGCTTATAACAAAAAAGGTGAAGCATTTACGTCTTCCACCGTTTATTGTACAAGTAAAGAAAATCTTATTGAGAAAACTCAGCATCCTAAAGGTACTGAAGGACTGGAGAAGATTCAAAACCTTGAAGATTCTCTTCGCAAGGAGCCTAGTCTTAAACCTGACGATGACACTGGTAGGCCTCCTGAATTTACTACGGTTTTCACAGACATAGTTGACATAAGTGAAGGTCAAATTGCTCATTATGAGGCTTCCCTCATACCTACTGGTGATCAGAGCATGGTAATCGAATGGTTCTATAATGGAAAATCTATTGAAGCTAGTCATCGTATCCGTACTGTGTATGCCTTTGGAATGGTTGTTTTAGAAATCCTCGGTACAAAGACTTCTGACTCTGGTACATATTCTTGTCGGGCAACTAACAAGTGGGGTCAAGCTGAAATAAGCTGCAAATTAGATTGTGTTGATAAAAGTAAGGGACAAAAGCCTCGCTTCACTACACATATTCAAAGTATTGAAGGCCTCAAGGATGGACAATCAGCTCATTTCGAATGTACATTAGTGCCAGTTGATGATCCAGATATGAAAATAGAATGGTACCATAACGGGCAACCATTGCGACATTCAACTAGAATAAAAACAGTTTCAGATTTTGGATTCGTCGTTCTTGACATAGCATACACCCAAAACCATGATACTGGTGAATACGTCTGTAGAGCCTATAATAAATATGGCGAAGATTTCACCAAAGCTACAATAACATGTTATGGTAAAGGTGGCGTTTACTTAGATAGTTTACAACCTGATTCGCTTGCTAAAATTAGGGAGTTGGAGAGTCTTCAAGGAGCACAGCAACAAACACTTCCTGCGACATCCACAGAACCACCTAAATTCATCACTCAAATTCAAGATGTAACGAAAATAGTTGAAGGTCAAAGCGCACACTTTGAGGCAAGATTAGTGCCGGTTGATGATCCAGATTTAAAGGTTGAATGGTACTATAATGGTAAAAAAGTTACCCCACGGACATAGGTATAGAACTTTCCACGATTTTGGTATCGTAATTTTAGATATTTTATATTGCTACGAAGAAAATTCTGGCGAATACGAATGTATTGCAACTAATAAATTAGGGCGTGATTCGACAAAAGCAAGTCTGAAGTGCACATCAAAGGAGAATTTAATTTTGGACTCGCAACTCCCGCGGGTAAGTGAAGTGATTCTTTACGGACTTTCTTTATAATTTTATATCTATATAAGATAACATTATAGTTAGAAAATTTCTTGTGTATCATATTGCTTCCCATGAGTAATCTGGTAGAGAAAAGGATACCCCAGGAAAATCTGGCAACATACGACAGATGCTTGCTATCTATTTTATAAATACTTGATCTTAAATATTTAGAACTCCAACAAGGTAGGAAACTAGTGACTTTACCGTTTCCGGTCTAGTAGTAGTAGTAGTAGAGTACGTCTTTGACCGAAAGTGAGTTTTTAATAGGCTAACATGAATAAAACGATATTATTATCATCATTACAGCCCCTCATAAGTCCACTGCTGAACATAGGCCTCCCACAAGGAATGCCACTAAGCACGTTTCTGAGCCACTAGCATCCATCGACTTCCTCCATGTCTTACCAGGTCTTCATTCCATCTAGTGGGGCGTCGCCCTTCACTTCGCCTACCGTGAGGTGTGAATCTGCTATTCTAGAACCTTTTTTCCCAATCGGTCGTCGGTTCTTCGAGTTATATGGCCCACTCATTGCCACTTCAGCTTAATTATTATTAATTAAATATTTATCCAGTATGCTATGTTTAATTACATATTGTTGTTTAGGTTTAATTAAATGTGATATGAATTCTACTCAGGGCATGGAAGGAGGCTTAGAAAAGCTGCAGACACTGGAGGATTCCATGATACGCAAAAAGGAAATTACTGTAGATGAACAACGGGGCAAAGCACCCGTATTTACAGTACCATTGTCCAATATTGAAAACTTGAGAGAAGGAGAAAATGCACATTTCGAAGCACGTCTTACGCCAACCGATGACCCCAACTTAAAGGTAAGCCAGTATTGACAGTATCTTTGAAAATGAAGCTATATGTAAATTAAGTAAAAAGATCATAAATTCTTTAAAACGGAAAACCTGAATGAAATCTTTTCTTTAGGTGGAATGGTACTGGAACGGAAAATCTTTAAAAGCTGGATCAAGGTTTAGAACGTTTTGTGACTTCGGCTTTGTCATACTCGAAATATCTCCTACGTACCCAGAAGATTCCGGAGAATATTCATGCAGGGCTTATAATAACTATGGTGAGGCAGTCACTACGGCAACCATGAAAGTCCAAGGAAAAAGAAACATCATTTTAGAATCGCAACTGCCAAAAGGAATGGAAGGTACTATAGATAAAATTGCTGCTTTAGAAGGGTATACTGGTACAGTAGATTCTTTGACTCCCGAAACTGAAAGTGGCAACCCACCTGAATTTATTACTACGCCGTCTGACCTTATACTATCGGAAAATTCTTCAGCACACTTTGAATGTCGCTTAATTCCCGTCAACGATTCCAGCATGAGAGTTGAATGGTTCCATAATGGTAAACCACTTCTTACGGGTTCTAGAGTAAAAACAATTAACGATTTTGGATTTGTTATATTAGAAATTGGTGGAGTTTATCAACGCGATGCTGGTCTTTATACTTGCAAAGCCACAAATAGACACGGGGAGGCAACTGTATCGTGCAAGTTGCAAGTTAAAGGAAGGCAAGGAATTATTCTTGAGCCCCAACTTCCATCTCACTTTAAATCAGGAACTGAAAGTATTCAAAAGTTAGAAGAAACATTATACAAACGTGAAGAGATAACTGTGGAGGATGAAAAACCAAATCCACCGAGATTCACAGTGGAAATTAAAGATAATCTTGATGTGCCTGAAGGTGGACCGATCCACTTCGACTGTCGGGTCGAACCTGTTGGTGATCCAACTATGAGGATTGATTGGTTCCACAATGGAAGGCCGTTTGCTACTGGCTCCCGAGTACACATGTTAAACGACTTTGGTTTTATTGCTTTAGATATTGATTACATTTATAGTCGGGACGTTGGGGAATATACTTGTCGAGCGACTAATAAGTGGGGATCAGCTACAACTACAGCAAAAATAACGTGTAGTACAAAACGAGACATTGTTCTGGAATCCCAGTTGCCTCAGGGCATGAGCGGAGAGAAAATTAAAGAACTTGAAAGAGGACGCATTAGTGATGCTCCTAAAGAAGAACATGTTGTTAATACTCCACCAAAATTCATAACACAAATCCAATCGCATACTGTTGAGGAATCAGAATCTGTACGTTTTGAATGCCGAGTAGAACCTAAAGAAGATCCTAAGTTGCGTATTGAGTGGTACAGAAATGGGAAATTGTTACCATCAGGACATAGATATCGTACCGTATATGATATGGGTTTCGTTTCCCTTGATATATTGTATGTCTACGCTGAAGATTCAGGTGAATATGTATGCCGTGCGATTAATGACTTTGGTGAAGACACTACTAAAGCAACAGTATCATGTAAACGTATGTATGATACTAACATTGAATTATATTTATTTTAAACACTTATATTTTAATTTTAATATTATTCATATTTCGTTTTGTTTCTAGGTTTGCCTGATATTATACTCCAAAATCAGGTACCCAGAGGTATGAAAAAGTCGGAAGCTTTAACTCAAATGGAGGCTACTATTAAAAAATACACGTCTGAAGTCTTTCTGACCGAAGACGATCTATACGATGCTGATAAAAAGCAGCCACCTCGTTTTGTAACACAAATTCAGAGTCAAACTACTTTAGTGGAGATGGAATCAACCAAATTTGAATGTCAGCTGGCGCCAGTAGGAGATCCTAATATGAAAGTTGAATGGTTTTTCAATGGCAAGCCACTTCTACATAGTAAGTTAATTTATGATTTTTGTTTAAATTCAGGTAAAATAATTACTTATGGCGATGGTATTCTTTCCAAGCTAATTAGCCGTAACATATCACTCAAGAAATAATTGGGTAAATATGTTATAGCTTAAGTCTTAGTATTTAAAATAAACTTTATTTATTTATAATTTATTTTATAACTTAATTTAAATTGTGTTTGAGGCTAATGTTCGACATTATTTTCTTTTGCAATGAACTTTTTCACCTTTAGCCGAATAATTCATATATTATTACATAAACGTCACACGCCTCTACCAGATGCTGTCGCACTTTAACCTACTGGCGACCGGTTACACTTTTTTTGGCCATGAATAGATCTAATAGGTGTATTCGAGTTTAACCAAGTAATGTGTAGTTTTAGTTATTGATTATTAAACAAATACATGTAATATACGATAATAATCATGTTGTGACATCTTTTATAAAACTGAATTGACAAAAGAATTTAGCTTAGTCCAACTTATGGTAAGTGACTACTGCAGTTCATGGACGCCTGCAGCTAAAGATGCTTTGACACCTCTGTAAAGATGGAATGTCTCGCAGCCTCTGATTATACTGGCTCTCTTCATAATGGAACACAGCAGTGCAAACACTACTATTTGGCGGCAGTTATATGTGAGAGAGTGGTGTCAGACGAACTCCTAGGCAGAAAACCGCTCCACCTAGTATTTTCATTTGTTTTTTCCGTTTCATTTTCATTTACTTTTTTCAAAGAATAATGGTTCCAAACGAGCACACCGTCCACCCGATGGTAAGAGGATACTGTGGACCATATACATCCACATCTATCCTCAATTAAGAATCAAAATGCAGATGCGTTGTCCAAAATGCCCCGTTTCCAGTAAAAAGGTATAAAAAGATTCTTCAGCTCACCACGCATACCAAGAAACCCAGCATCACCAAGTGCTATTTTACGCTGGTATCCTGTGAGTCTCTCCGATTCATTGATGCTACAATCATAATAAAGCTGTAACGTATAATAACAGCTTCCATATATATAACCTATAGGTTTCGCTTAAAGTTTCAGGTGGCTTCATTTGAAAATAGTAGTCTATACTTGTAGCTAAACCTAAATGTTAGTCGGCTAATTTTAGGCTTCCTTTTTATGACAATTGGGGATTAATGCAATAAATGCTTAATCATTTTTCAGAAAATCGATTTACACCGATTTATGATTTTGGTTACGTTGCAATGAACTTTGGTTGGGTATATCCTGAGGATAGTGGCGAATATCTTTGTCGTGCTACAAATCTTTATGGTATGGATGAAACGAGAGCTGTAATTAAGACTGCTGGCAAGCCAGGTATTGTGTATGATTCACAATTGCCAAAACATATGAAGAGTATTGAGAAAATTCGAGAGATGGAAGCATCATGGCAAGTGTAAGTACTCATGCATTATCACTTGGACTGTAATTTTTCCCTATTTAAAAATATCAGTACACATTAAAAGACTAAAAGAAATTTCTTTTAACTTATCAATTACATTATACATGCGATTTTGATATTAATATAAATTTGATGAATATTTTTAAAACGTTATTTTTTTTTCTTCCGTGTAGAGCGCCGGAGCCAGCAGTTGAAGAAACAAAAGAGCGTTGTGCACCTGTATTTGTAAGCCGACCTGAACCAGTGACAGTTGAAGAAGGGGAATGGGCTCGGTTTTGCTGTCGTGTTACCGGCCATCCTAAGCCGCGTGTTATGTGGCTTATAAATGGAAATACCATCGTTAACGTAAATTGAATTCCTTGTTATTCTTGTACAGTGTGCCAGGTGTGTTTCAAGTAAAACCTAATTTTTTTTTTCATAATTACAGGGTTCAAGATACAAACTCACTTATGACGGAATGTATCATTTGGATATACCCAAAACTAGGCAATACGATACGGGAAAAATAGAGGTAATTGCCAGGAGCTCAGTTGGCGAAGCAGTAGCCACGACCGAATTAAAAGTAATTCCGAGACATGACGATTACAGAAGTGTTCTTAAAAATGCACCAAGACGTAAGTATTAAATATATTAGATTCTATGTGTTGAAAATTGCAATTAAATATGCCATATGCCATTCACCAGCTGTTATTTATTTAACATGCGTGTTGACTATTTACATTTAATATTTATAAACGAAAGAATAACTAAGTAATAATGCTTTAGTACACATTACCAATTATGCACACAAAAACACTCTGCTTAAGAAGTACAATATAACTTCCTATGCTTCCTTTTTCCAAACATCCTATCCTATTCTTGAAATGGCGTGCCGCTTAATCACCTGCTGCTTCTGGCTTAGCATCGGATAGCAGTAGAGGTATGTTAAAATATATATATAGATAAAATAATATTATAATTAGGAATATAAGAGAAATTAATTTGTAAATGATGTACACAGCTTGGTACGACGAAACAACACAATATCAACGAACTGGAACTGAGCTAGAAAAGACGTTCGAAGAAAGGCAAGTAATGCAACGACAAGGAGTAATTGACCATAGGCCTGAATTAAAGCCAAAAGTCATTAAAGAACCCGAAACTGAGTGGCAACAAACGGTCAAAAAGAAGAAAAGTGAAGAATATTACAACAAGATTCAAGAATTGGAAAACGAGCAAGTCGTAAAGGAAAGCAGATTGAGAGAATCCACTCACCAATATGCCATTCCTGGTGAAAAGGTCACGAGTAGCTCTGTTGCAAGGTCAATGGCCCAGAAATACGAAGACAATATGTAAGTAACTTAAAAAATGGACGATAATTTTCACTGATTATATAACGTATTTATAATTTTAATGTTAATGTAACATTTTTATTACAGAGAACAAACTGAGGAAGTCGTTGAAAAACACGTACAGAAGAAAACTTTTAAGCCTAGAATCCCAGAACCATCTGAGTCTGTAATTCATGGCAAGGAGGTTCATGTGGCTAAACAGAAGCAAATTCAAAAAGAGGTCGTTGGTGACACTGAAATCACGCGAAAAATTATTTCAACTGAAACTACTGAGGTTGAACATAAAGGCCAAACTCACGAAAGGGTCGTTGAAGGACCAGTAAAACCTTGTAAGCCACCAGTATTTACCAAAAAGATGCAACCTTGCCGCGTTTTTGAACATGAGCAGGCCAGGTTTGAAGTTGAATTTGATGGAGATCCATTACCTACTATTAAATGGTACAGAGAAAACTTCCCAATTAAAAATTCTCCTGACTTTCAAATTCACACTTTTAGTACGAAATCTATATTAATAATCCGACAAGTTTTTGTTGAAGATTCGGCTGTGTTTGCAGCTGTAGCTGAAAATAGAGGTGGTACTGCTAAATGCAGTGCTAATTTGGTGGTAGAAGAACGAAGGCGTCAGGGAAGAGGTGGAGTCATTCCTCCAAGTTTTACTCTGACGGCACAAAATGTTAACGTAACTGCCGGTCAACTCGTTCGTTTTGATACAAAGGTTACTGGAACTAAGCCGATAGACGTGTATTGGCTTAAGAATGGCAAGAAAGTTCAGCCTGATATAAGGAATAAAATTTTAGAAGAGGATGGAACATACACACTACTTATACTCGAAGCTTATCCTCAAGATTCGGGTAAATATGAATGTGTTGCAATCAACAGTGCTGGCGAAGCAAGATGTGATGCAGAATGTATAGTATCTGCTCCTGCTACCAAAGAAAAACCTAAGCCTCAAACTAAAGTAGCCAATGCACCTCCTGAAGTTATTGAACCTCTGAAAGATAGAGTCGTTACCGAGGGACAAGCAATAGAATTTGGATGTAAAATAGTTGGTAAACCAACGCCTACAGTGCAATGGTACAAAGGCGATAAGTTAATAAAACCATCGAAATACTTCCAAATGTCTAGGACGGCAGATGATTATACTTTACGCATATCTGAAGCGTTCCCTGAAGACGAAGGTGATTACAAATGTGTAGCTTATAATTCTGCAGGCAGAGTAACCGTAGCAGCGAAGTTGAAGGTTATCCAACCTGACCAAGCTGATAATTTACCCACACTTACTCCTTTACGAGACGTTGTTGTTTACGAAGGTCAACCAGCACAATTCAAAACACAAATAACTGGCAAGATCAAGCCTACGATCCAATGGCTTCGTGAGGGAGCACTTATTCCTGAAACCCCCGACTTTCAGGTAAGATTTAATATTTTTCTTAAATAAAACGTAACACGCACATTTGGTAAAAATTATTTGTAGAATTTGTACCTTTTGAAATTTTAATCCGTGGCCCACAGCGCCATGACTCAATGCTATGATTCTGTGCCAAATGAGCCGTTTTTAATTCTAAAGAGCAATTATTATTCTCTAAAATCTCTCTCTATATAAAGTTTCATGTATTAATAAGGTTATGTTTTTTCATTGCAGATGATTCATGAAGGTAACAACGCAGTCCTACTTATCGGTAACACTTATGAAGAGGATACTGGAACTTTTACTTGCCGTGCAACAACTGCCGCCGGCCAAGTCGAGACTTCGGCAAAGCTAGTCGTCAAAAGTAAGACATAGATACAGGCAGCGAGCTCGCGTCGCGCACTTTAATCTATTAATTTAGTGTTTCTTTGTTTCATTTCTATACAATTCAATGAGATCGGGTGAAAACTACTATCACATAGGATAGACTTAAGTTGACAAGCGAAATATAAAAAAACCTTCTCCATTGCTTCGCACAATCGTAGCGGTTCCCGCAGTAACGATTCCGCCCGCTTTGTAGTATCTCCTCGACCCAAGTCATGAATTTATGACACATGGACTTCCCGCGTTTAATGTAGATACTGATCAGTAAGTGGCCACATTAGTCACTCGCGCGTATATAATTGACTGAAATATGCGCAAATTCTATAAAGAACTTTATTGGATTCGATTTTGAAGTTAACTCCAAAGAATGATCTGCGCGATTTTTTGCATCTAACAATGCTGTATATTTAAGCTTTTTGTGTAAATAGTCTTAGTAATTCGACGAGCCAAGCGACTACTGGAGGTCACCGAGCAACGAGCCACGTGCTTCTATGAATTGGGATACACGTAACATGTGATTAACACGAACACAAATATGATACAGTTGTTTGTTTGCTTTTTACCGCTACGATGTTTACTAAAAGTTGTCGTTGAAACGATATTTTTTTGTAAATCAATAAATTATAATTTCGTGATACAAATATCGGATCTGGCGAAAGTGTCAAATGTATTTTTCACCCAATACTCTTATAAAATATTTAAAGCCTGGCTTAAAGTTAATGGTTTATTTGCATTATTAACAAAAAGAAAGTGACTGTTTTACTTGAATGCTTTTTGTGTTAAACTGAGATATATCTAATATTAGAAAGTATTGCGCAGGATTTCAATTGTTATCTGTTTCATTCATGTCATTCGAAAAACCAAATCGATCATGTATATGAAAGTGCTACATATAATTTGTCCCATAAAAGACGCAAATGCTATTTAGTACTCTTTATATAATCTACGCAATTAACAAACACAACCACAAGTGTAAAATTCAAACAAGTCTTTTTTTCTTTTATTTAAGTTTTCTTAGCTTTAGCTTTATCCTTAAGCATGAATCATTATATGTATAGTCGGTGAAGATTTTGCGATATAATTCTGTCCACCTAACACAATTGCACGTTGGTGGCGGTGCGTATTACACCGTCCCTTCATTTCACCTAACGGTTACGACTAACTTTCTCAGTGCTACGCCGTACCTGTTATAATATCGCGATATTGAGAGGTTATGTAAAAAGTTAGCATTTGTGGGTGGCTGTGGGTGGGTCGTTCACGCGGAGCGCAAAGTTAAACAATAATGTTTACCGTAATCAATCCCCTGTTCCGCTGTCAACTCTCCTATGACAAAGAAACATAAACTAGTGTTAGTCGCTCACCTCTGCGGCGAATCACTAAAACAAAGTACGCACGCATTACTTGCCTTGCCAGTTTCTATGTTTTGACAAACACTGCCGATTTTGATGACCTAATGTTTTCTGCAAGTACAAATCCGAATTGAATGAGATTTATAGTTTAACTTTTCAGTGATCTTTAACTTAGTTTGTTTTAAGTGCACGATATTGTTAAAATTGAATTGTGTTGTATGTTTCACCTAAGTGTATTGTTAGGCGTGACAGTATTTTTTCACTAAATATTTTTAGTACCTACCTATCCATATTTAATACTATATTTATTACGTAAATTTTGTATGTTACCTTTATGTGAACTGTTTAATAAATGCTATAAATTAATAATCATTTCGCATTATTCAATACACGCAGCAACATGAACTATAAGTAAAAATTCCTTAAACATAATATACACAAAGTAAAGGTTTTAAGTAAACAAAACATATTATATTATTTCATATTAAACTCACTATGCACTGATTTAACTTACATAAACTGAGTGTCAAGTAGTATTGTCTTTATTAAAAATTTCGTAGATGGCTTTCAATCATACATTGAATAGTTAGAGGTGCAAAGCGCTTATCATTTATAATTTTTCTTTACCTAAATTTTTCTGACATCTTTTTGAAATTTTAATTTTAATAAAACAGATTTCTTCTTTGCTACTGTTGTAACTAAACAGTTAATTAACCTTTACTCTAATATAATTTTTTTAATGTGGAAGTGATCTTTATATCACTAATTATTAATCATGGCGGACTAAATATTTTTACGGTTAATTTCTTTCCAGTAGGCTGATCAATGTCAAATACAAGTTAATATGATAAAATTGAGTGGCCTTATTCTATCAATATTTAATTCCTTCATTCGATCACTACATTACCCCAATTAGATTGGTAGAAGTATGTCATTAATTACGCCTATACGGCATTCCATGTGTGAATAGTAAATTTTTACACGCTAGCTACTATTTGAAGCGTGCACTTATTATATATTATTTCTGGCTATAGTAAAAGTATGCATATATTATTGACAATTGAGACACCCATTATTTTAAATTACAAATAGATATCTTAAAATTAAAATTATAAATCAGAATTCACAATTTAAAATATACACTGATTGCTAAAAAAAAACACAACAGGTTAGTTTTATTTCTAGATGAAAATTAAATTCAGTATTCAAAAGAAAAATTTATAATGGCGATGTTATAGAGGCCCAATCCAAAAGAAGAGACGTAAGTATTCTGTGGAGGTAAGTTATAGGTATACTTATTCCTCAAATTGACAAAACATGGTGAATATGTTTGCCTCATAGGCTGTTCCTCGGTTGAAGCCTCAATCAAACCCGCCCAAATGGATAGTGCGTGTCATAATATTCGTTACTACTTAAAAAGTAAATAGTAAGTTGGCAGACCCAGCACAGGAACATCATGCAATAAATGTACTTTTTTAATTAAATCCTTCACCGAATTACTTAATAATATTACATAACTACTATATGAAGAGAAGATTTAAATTACTTTTTGATGATTTTGGCAACGTTATGATGTAAATTGCAATTGGCAGAAAATAACGTTTGCGTTCCATTCCATTGGAGTGGTAACAATAAGATTTCACAAATTAAATTTTGCAAGTTGGTAGTGGAAAAAGAAAATCTAACCCTGAGTTAAAATTCCGCAGCTCAATATATATGCATATATTATATATTTTAAATAATAGTATCAGACAATACTATGCTGTAGTTTGTCATTATTATGTTTGCAATATTTTCGAATTCTATACTCCTTGGAAAAGTAGCAATTATATACTCTTTGGCTTTTGGAGGCCCATCTGTCAACATGTCTGTTTGAACTTTGAAACTCTTGTGTCAAAATTTTGTGATGAGCTCCATTGAATCTACTATTAAATATATCTTTTATTTGATTTTATTCGCATAAATTGAAATGCACATAATTATGATGATTTTACCTAAATAAAAATAAATACAGGCCAAAGTCATTTAAGTAGTAGGTAGTAATAGATCGAACATCAGTAACAAAATTGTCGTGTGTGTGTGTGTGTGTGTGTGTAACTTTTGTCCTATATCTCCGATTATTGTCATTTAGTCGTAGTTACATCGTCAAAAGGTCAAGACGTATTCATTACATAAATTTAAAAAATATTTTTAAAGAAAATGTGCCCGATTGTGCATTAAGGTATTGTAAATCACGTTATAGAGCAAACACTACGCGTAATTTCGGTTAATTATCGTAAGAATTATGTATGGTATTTACCAAATAATATTTAATTTCTGTTATTTGTGGTAGATTGTTCTAGAACGTTTATTAATTATTGTAATAAGCGCCCTCTGTTATCCAGTAACGTCACTATTTCTTTACCAATGTGTTAGTGCTTGACAACGTGCCTGAAACGGTTTTGTACCTTATATTGAGTAGCGTCACCTAATGTGGAATAGCTAAAATGTTTTCCCAATAAATATTCAGCAATACTCTATGTTTCGCTCGAGGGCGTAACACAGTTAATTAACAATATTTCGAACTTTCAAATCATCCTGAACTGTTGCCAAGAGGCATGTCAGGCAGTAGTGTACTAACAGTAATGTTATCATCATCCATGTCGATGATGATAATGGCAAAATTGCACACGGTTCTAGATTTATAAAGTTACTTCAACGCTTAGCAAAAGAATGCGACAATAAATACTTCTGGATAACCAAAGAGAATATAATCACTACGTTTAGTTTATAACTTTAGTTTTTTTTAATTGAGCCGTTGTCAATAAACAATTTGAGGCAGAAAAATTTAATAATATTTTTCAACACCAAAATAGTGTGAAAAAAATAAAATGGAAGAGGAAATACGTGACCATTATGTTTGACCGACTTGTAAAAAAGGAGGTTATTTTACAATATATTGAATCTCCCGAGTCTAGTTAGCCGATAGTGCTGAATTTTTATAAAAATACAATGACTTCATTTAAATAATTTAGTTAGCAGAAGAATAATATTTGAGGCTCAATTTAAATGATAACAGGTGTGATCACAATCGTCCACCAAAAGACCTGTGTAATGAAAAATCCAATCCAAGGGTTATGTCGTACTTAGAGCAGATTTAACTTTTGAAGTGGATTATTTTATAGAATATTTCACAATTATATCAAATTGAGACAAAAGCAGTTAACAAATCCTTATTGTAATACATTGAGCTATTATGTACTACGTCCTAGAGGCGACACTACATTCAGCTACTCTGTTCCACTCAACTGCGGTGCATACACCGCACTTTAATCAGTCACTCGCTAGGCGCTTGTGGAGTTGTCACGTGTTGTGATGATTTAAAAAAAATCTCTTGATAAAAATATGCCGTCGTGTGTACTTAGATATTGCACAAATAATTCAAAAAATGTCAGTAAAAACCAAGGAATTGCTTTTCATCGGTTAATAAGATACTTAATCAATAAAGAGTATTATAGATTAATAATAAAACAAATTATTTCTAAGACGCCATCTTGTGTCATGAAATATAGATTATGAAATTAATATGTTCAGATGCGACATTTCTGTGGGTACTTAAAGTATAGGACGAATATATTATTAAACACATTTT